CCTCCATTGTTCTGGTTTTTAGCTCACAACTCAGCATTGAATGACCTTATTCTTTATATTGCTTTCCATATTTAAGTCTGACTTTGTCAACCTTTCTTTGTCTTTGTTAATGTCACTGATAGTTACCAAATGGCACCAATAGGAGACTGGCCTATGTAGAGAAGGATAACAGTATGGTTGATACCAGTGAAATAAAGTAAACTCTTCCCCTTCCAGGTTGATTCTTTTATGAAGGCAAACTAATCTACTTTTGCCTCCATTCTTACCTAGCCTTTAATTACTAAATGGGCATTGCCTCAGACAAACTGAGAACTGGGAAAGACCTCAGCTTAAAAAGGCCAAGGTCTCCCACTGCATCCAGGTCAATTGTCCTGACCTATGTCTTGCCATTGGACTCCTGATGACCCTAGAGGAGAGAGTAAGGCTGATGACTGCACAGCTCTGCCTCACTTAAATCCATTTCACTTGCAAGTCAAGATATCACCCTCCTGAAGTCACAGGTCTTCGAGAACAAAAGACAAACAAGAAGAACATACAGACAACTTAACTCCAACTGTGCAACCCAGCAAGAGGCTGGGGTGTGTGTGTGTGTGTGTGTGTGTGTGTGTGTGTGTGTGTGTGTGTAATGCACAAGGTATGGATTTATTAGCCTTAGCATACATTCATACTGTAAGGTGGGGGAGGGGGGGAAATGTCACACCAGTCAAACCAGTTGTCATACACACATACATATACATACACACATATATATACATGTATACATACATATATTATATATCATGTATGTGTATATTTTGTTTTTACACAGTTGCTTGCATATTGTCTCTCCTCAGACTGTGAGCTCCCTTAGAGAAAAGATTGTCTTTTGCCTTTTGCTGTATCCCCAGTGCTTAGCACAATGGTGGGCACACAGTAGGTGCTTAATAAATGGTTATTGACTGATTAACTAGTAGCTTAAAACTGCACCAAGACTTTTGGGGGCACCCTGTATAAGATAGTGATGCTATTTACTGACATTTCCCTCCCTCCTTCCCATACATAATGAAACAGGATAGCTGTTTTGCCAGGGCTGCTAAGTTTCTGGAAATCCTCTCTAAGTGCTTACGGAAAATGGGGGGAAAAAAAACCAAACCCTTCCCAGATCATCTCACAAATTCCTATGCATATGTCAGGAAATAATGATGTTATATTTATGTCAGTATTTTTTTTTATTCAAGTCAAATGTTCTCAACTCTCCCAAGCGCCACAATAACATCCCTCCCAGTTTTCTCTCTCCATGGCTTCACTTTCCCCAAAGAGCCTTCCAGCTGATCCTGGATATGGAGCCCACATCCCTGCATCCAGCTGCCAGGGCTGCCATTCTTACCATTTCTCTCAAGGTCTCAGTTTCCTCTCTATAAAATAAGGTGGGTTTGGGTTTGGCTGCTAAGAGCGTGGAGGCAAAGAATCTTCTCAGGGATTGGACGTAAAGGAGCCCCAGCACACACCCAAAATGTTAGCTCCTACGATCTATGCATCGTAGACAACATGGTGTTTTCTTTAAATGGGTGGCATGGAGGAGAACATTTCAAGACTGTGAACATTGGAATCTCCCCAAATGACCTAACACAGACTTGCCTTATGTGTTGGTTGGTTTTGTTGGACTGCTTCTCCTCATCCCTTTTTCATTCTAATTTTTGTTACGATGGGTGACTGCTGGGGAAAGTGGGGGGAGGGACATATTTGGAAGTGAAGATGATATAAAACCAAGCACCATATAGGCTGGCTAATGAGATCCCAGTCCTGGGAGCAGGGACAGGGGACCCATGTGGCTGTTTGGTGAACCTGCTTCCAACAAACACAGTGGAGGGTACTGCTTTCTACTTCACAGTATATATATATGTATTCTATCACTGTTTACAGGCCATTTTCAGTGTGTTTTTTAAATTGGCTGTCCAGCAAAAGCTAGATGTGTGTTCATATAAAGCCCTTAAATGGAGGTACTTTTTTTGGTCTGGTTTCCTTAGAATGAGGAGGCTCAACTGACCTGGGCCTCTAACTCACAGTACCCCTTGGCTCTCTTTCACCCAGGCAGAGGCCCATGAACACATAGCCCTGCTCTCACTTCTGTCTCTGTCATACCTGTGGTTTTCTGCCCCTTGGCAAAGGAGTATTAGAGCTGACTTTGACTTTGTGAGCTTCAAAAGGGAGGGGGAGTGAGCTACAGTGGTCCAGGAACTCGTGTCCATGCCAGAGTTTATTGGCAGCTGAATCCAATAAGGAGCGACCTACAGGATCCAGCCCCACAGTGAATTTGATTAGGAACCAGGATACTGGTTCATTCAAATAAGGGACTACAGATTTGAAAGTGAACTTTATAAGGCAAATACTTTCTAGTAACCATTGTAAGTCTGAGTACAGTGTACTTTTCCAGAGATGGAGGGGGTAAAGTGTAGGAGGCAGTATTAGGAAGATATTATTTAGTACCTCTGTCCTTGCTGTATCTTCTCAGTAAATCCCCTTTTTGTAAAAGCTAAATAATGGTAATTGGTAAAATGATACTTGAGCAATAATCAATGCGATAATCAATATTAGGTGATGCTCAGAAGACTTTAACTAATACTGGTTAGATGATTTTGAAGAGATAATTTAGTCATTGATACTGGGAGAACACACTATAATGGTGGCTTGCTACCAATAGCATTAAAAAGATATTGAGACCCCTTAGGTGTGCATCTAGAACACTGAAGGGAAGATATAGTCTTACTCTAGTTATACAACTTGCCAGGGAGAGTGAGAGTTAGGGTAAGGGACCTCAGAGTACAGATAGACTACACAAGACAGCAATAGAACTTTTAAAAAATATCATGACATTCTCGCCCCACAACTACAGCTTGTGAAAGAGTATGCTACAGTGGATGTACCATATGCCTTTGATTGGCCCATTTGATATGATATGTCATTTTTACTTCTGTACAAATTCCCTAGCCATCTGCTAGGCTTTCAGCTAGAAAATGATCATATTTAATAGAGCCCGTGTTCCTATAGCACACTGATTTTGTTCACTTGAAGGATGTGCCATTGCAGACTGTTACCTTGGTCCAGAATTCATTTCTGATTCATTTCCAACTCTTAGAATGCTTAGCTTCCTTCAAGGTTCACTTTAGGTACCACCTCCTATGGGAAGCCTTTCTTTATTACTTCTAA